AGCATGATCGTGACATACATTACACTACATGTCATTTAGCTGACGCTTTATCCAAAGCGTACATAAGTGTATCTCAACATGAGGATACAAACTCTGAGACAAGAAACAAGAAAGTCCAATTGGCAAGGGGTTTTGTTAATAAAATAAACATGGAGTTGATTTTGGCTAACCCCATACAGAAAGGGGCCTGTCTCAAAAGGCAGACCGGACACAAATTCATTACATGTCGAACAAGAGATTTACAAATTTCCAAAAATCACAGAAATGTGTAGGTCATCCTTCCTTCATCATGCACATTTTCATCTCAGGGGATTGCCTGCAACCTCGATCTGCTCCTCCCACTCCTACTAGACGCAGTGGTGCCTAGTTGTTTTTTTTCTTGGTAGGGCCAACCAATAAGTTCCAGTAAACATCCCAGTATGTCGATGCCAAAAATAGGTATCATACACACGTTATTACTTTGCAGTTAAATATTTAACATGTATTCCAACGTAATAAGGACATCTTATTCAAAAAATTCAGTATATTAACAATATTTAGAATATGATACAACAATCATATTGTACCTATTTATAACTAAATATCCAATGTAAATATATCATAAATATATTACAATTTTAATATATTTACTACTAAGTGGTCACTAGTTATATATTTATATATAACTAGTGACCACTTCTCACTAGTTTGTTGGGGAAACACCCAATCAGTGTGTTGAGGAAAGACCAACTCAAAAGCCCCACAAAACACACAATTAATTATTTTGGATAAAATGTAAAGAAAATTTAAATTAATTAAATTTAAATTTAATTAGATTTTAAATGTTTTGTTTGTGTGGCTTAAGGTGAGGCCACGCCCCCTTGCCCTCTATGGACCAGCAGCCACTGATTAGACGTGATTTCAAGAGTAACAAAACTGTCACTAAGATTTTCATATGAATGAAATGGTCGGCAACATTTGGTCTACGCGAGGACATAATTTAAACATATTTAATATAACTTAAAACGTCAAAAACGACGGACTGTACGGTTAAAAAGATGCTTCAAGGACATAGTAATGCATAGTAGTTCTGAGACGCTAACAGAGTTTTGACGGATGCAACACGAGGCAAAGATATTCTACGAAACCAGAGCGGCATGAACAACAGAGCGCCTTCGAAGCCAGCTGTCACGTGATACAGTTTTTATGGATGGAATTGCTCTGGTACCCAGCAGCACCGTCAGGAATCTGGTAGTTCTCTTCGACCAGGATATGACCTTCAACTCGCATATCAAGAAGACCTCAAGGACTGCCTATTTTCATCTACGTAACATATCAAAAATCAGGAACTTCCTGTCTCAAAGTGATGCAGAAAAATTAGTTCAGGCGTTTGTCACTTCCAGACTGGACTACTGTAATTCTTTGTTATCGGGCTGCTCTTGTAAATCTCTTAAGCCTCTCCAGTTGATTCAGAATGCTGCAGCATGTGTATTAACGAGAACTAAGAAAAGGGATCATATCACTCCTGTATTACCTTCTCTGACTGGCTCCCTGTTAAATCAAGAATTTATTTTAAGGTACTTCTCCTCACCTACAAGCAGTTGCTGGTGAGTCACCGTCGTATTTAAAGAGCTTGTAACACCTTATTGCCCTACAAGGCAGCTGAGCTCCAGAGATGCTGGGTTACTTGTTGTTCCTAGGGTTTTAAAAAGTAGGCTGGGGGCCAGAGCCTTCAGTTAAGCTCCTCTTTTGTGGAACCAGGTTCCACTTTCAGTCCAAGGGGCAGATTCTGTCAGCTCTTTTAAAGTAAAACTTAAAACTTTTCTCTTTGATTCTGCCTATAGTTAGGGCTGGCTCAGGTTAGTCCAGACCAGCCCTTAGTTAAGCTGCTATAGGCTTAGAATGCCGGGGGACTGCTTAGGACACACCGAGCTCCTCTCTCACGCTCTCGTTCTACCATAATTCACGTTTTATTAATGCACATGACTAATTCAGCTTCGTTCCGGGAGTTTTTTTGTGCTTTCTCCCCTAGCAGGTCATCATCACCATTATTATTTTAGATATTAAGTAAACCAACATTACCCTCTCCTAAAGTCTCTGGTGGTTGCCCCTGCAGTGGTCCTTCTGTGCGCCTGGCTTACTACTCACAATTACTTGAATCATTTCTGTCATAGGAATTGCATGTATTATACATTGTTGTCTGTCCATCGCGGGAGTGGGATCCCTCCTCTGACGTTCTCCCTAAGGTTTCTTCCTTTTTTTCCCTCTTGGAAGGGTTTTTTCATTGTTTGGGGAGTTGTTCCTGTGCCGATGGTGGGTTTCGGGACAGAGGATGTTGTATGTGTACAGACTGTCAAGCCCTCTGAGGCAAATTTGTCATTTGCAATTTTGGGCTATAAAAAATAAAATGAATTGAACACATACCCTGTAAGTATATAATTGTTGAAATGAAGCACACCGGCAATTATAACCAGTATTTGTTTTACTTGTGCGGTACACTCGATACGTGGTAGGTTGCATACTAGTTAGCGTTGAGGCAAGTAAGCGCAGCGTCGTAAATACTAAAGGGCAAAGGTCAAAATTGCCCCCAATATCACATAGTATGTTTTGATATGCCTCAACTGCGTGTGCGAGAAGAAGCAAATGTTCTTAAACAAAGAAGGAGCGCTGCATGGAGAGCAAATCCAGCCTCCGTCACCATCTCTGGTTCAAAAGAAAAAATCCACTCACCCATCGACCACAGAAAAATGGAAAAAAAAAACGTTGTTGGCAGTTGTCCACCAGCACGGGAAAATTATTCTGCTGACTTTGTCAAGGGGAGCGAAAACATCAAGGAATACGTGTCCTTTCATCACCAGATGACCGAGCCTACGGCGAGCGAAATCCTTAAGTATTCATTATTTTTGTCAGGACCAGATAAAAATGAGGACTCAGATGCAGAGGGTTTGGCGTCTTTATTCGCGTCGTGAAAAAACAAACAAACGGCTATGAGCTATCAGCGTTTCCGACGAAAGTTAACAAACTAAAATCTCTTAAACGAGGAAAACGAACGGCTTCGAAAGCGCGCTAAAACTAAAAAGCTCCAACAAAGGTCACTCTTACTCAGAGGAAAAACTTGTTTGATTGTGGTGGACACAATCAGGAATCAGGGGAGACGATTCGACTGGTGACATGAGGAAGGGCAAGTGACCTGAAACGAGAGGAAGGTTACTACTTTCAAAATAAAACGGAAATGACAAGACCAAAACATGCCGACAAAAACCCAACTTGACCTCACCCTGTGACA